TAGTTAAATTATGACCTGTTTCTAGATATAGAATATCATGCAAATGGTGTTCTATGAAGATTTTCTCTTAGTTACTTGGAAATTGCTTGTCTTAGATAAAAGGATTATGTATCATATGATTTCAAATAAAGGAAAGAAAATGCAGATGGAAAAGCTTCAAAATATTTACTGAAGTGAAGTTTTGTGTTATCTTTATGCTTTTTTTTTGGTATTTTTCAAAATGTTAGCAATGTGTATGGGAGTTGACAAAGGTAAAATAGATTTTTTAAAAACCAGTTGTTTACATTGGCTGTTGTAATTTGATTATGGAAAATTTTATTCATATACAAACGTAGAGTGTTAGGAACTTTCATGTACCTGTCTCTGATTTTCAACAATGATACATAGCTCACCATGTTTTTTATATATGCCTTCCCTTCCTTGTCCCCGTAAGATTTTTAAAATCTCAGACATTCTATCATTTAATGTCTATTTATCGTGACAACCAGAAAAATGCCCCTGTGTATTTCCAAAACACCTTCTTGGCAGCAGTTTCCTCGTCTATTGAGATCCATTGCTGTGGGACAGTGAGGTAGAGTGGTTTGAAGATGTGATTCTTTTCTGAATTTGGACTGATTTCCTGAGCCAGTCTTTTAATGTAGATTCCTGGGCCCACTCTGAAGCTTTCCTATTTGGGCAGTCTGGTAAAACCTAAGCATACTGGTGATTTTGGTAAAGATCTGAGAATAGTATAAGTAAGTTTTTCTTTATAGCATGACGCTCTTTTGTCTGATTTTATATGTCTGGTCCCTGGAAAGCCTTCTTCAGGTTTTATTGGCTACTTTGTAGTCTTTCTTTAGTTTTCACTTCTGGAAAGCCTTCTCTGACTTCCTTTATGCTTCCTGTGGACTTCATGGTTTTACTTGACTCTCGTTGGACTGTTCACCTTCAGGGAAAGAGTTGTGTCTTTTGTCTTTGATTTTCCATAGTACTGCTTATTAATAAATATTGAATAAAATAAGTGGGAAGGATGGTCAGTATAATACAGATTAAGCTATATACCGTGTGAAAATGTTCCCCCAAAAAACTTTTTTGTTTTTGTAAAAGCAGACCAAACTTTTTCGGGACCAGAAGTGTCTCAGGATTTCAGATTTTTTTTTTTTTTTTTTTTGGAATATGTTGCTACTATGTATACTTACTTGGGTTCAGGCATTGCGCTAACTGTGAAAATCCGAAAGTTTGAAATGCCTCCTGGAGCATTTCCTTTGAGTGTCATGGATGCTCAAAAGTTTGGATGTTTTTGTACATTTCAGAATTGGGTGGTTATTTTTGCGATTAGAAGGCTACTGTTGTCCACCCCAGCCCAAGCAATAGAGATTGGCTGTTTATACGCTATATTCAGGAAGCAAAGAAAGGGAACAGGACTTGAAGATAGAGGTCTGGGAGGGTATAGTACATTATTTTTTGGACGTGTAAGGTAAGAGCTTAATTGTGGGCCCTCGAACTAAATCTGGTCCTCGTTGAGCATAAAAAGAAAAGGATGATTTGGGAAGCAGTGAGTGTTCAGGCCTTAGGCAGAGCGACTTGAACAAGGATATGCTAGCAACTAATAATAGACCTTTGTGGTTTAGCAGACGACAGTGATAATCTCATTTCTTACCTAAGATCAAGGATCACTGACATAGAAGCGACGCAGTCTCTATATTGCTATTGAATTGGGGACTTTGGTTTGGTTGTGTGGTTGAAGGCGAATCTCGCTCTGTCACCCAGGCTGGAGCTGCAGCTGGTACGTGATAATAGCTCACTGCCCCAGCCTTGATAACTCCTGCGAGCTCAAGCAGTCCTTCCGGGCCTCAGCCTCCTGGGACATTGGCATTATGGTTGTTGAGACGTGTTCTGTAGTGAGAGATTCTCTATATTGAGGTACCTTCTTAGAAACTGGACTGTATTGGTGCCGTGTGCAAACAACTATGCTTAATACATTACGGTACTTTATTTTGTATTTATTTTAAGAGAAAATCTTGAACGTCTTTTAAATCGCCATTACTGACCAACTTTGTTCTTGACTATTGCTGAAAAATTTTGAAAGATCAAGATACCTTGAGCTCAGCCATGGAATTCATGATGGACTTACTGTTCACCTTGTCATTAAAAACACCAACAGGTTATGGTTTTGGAAGATGTACAGCTTTCAAAAATCGTGGCATAAATGTTCATACTTTCTAAAAGTAACTATTTGTTGGCTGTTAAAATTACTGTTCCCGGTCATTTAATATTTAAATAGTTAAAATTCTTTCCTTTGCTGTCGGATAATGATTTTTTTTTAAAAAAGTGATTCCATTGTTAATGCCCTTACACGATTTTGTCAGATAACCATTGCATGTTTGTGATGGTGTTCCTAAGGTGGTGTGGCGGTTCAGTGTCGTGGGGTATGGTGTGATGTAGGTGATCTGTAAATTATTTTGCATTAGAACAGCAAAAGTTTTGTCCTTTTTCTCTCTGTGTTGAAATCTGTGTGTGAGTCTTCACTTTTGTCCCTCCCAGGCGGAGTGTCAGTGGCGGATGATCTTGTGCCCCTGCTCCCCCATCTGAAGCTCCGCCTCCTGGGTTCATGCCATTCTCCTGCCTCAGCCTCCTGAGTAGCTGGGACTACAGGCGCACACCGCCACGCCCGGCTAATTTTTTATATTTTTAGTAGAGACGGGGTTTCACTGTGTTAGCCAGGATGGTTTCGATCTCCTGACCTTGTGATCCGCCCGCCTTGGCCTCTCAAAGTGCTGGGATTACAGGTGTGAGCCACCGCACCGGGCCCAGCTTTTCTTTTAGTAAGGAGATTTTTAGACAAAGATCGTGAATGACTTATCTCCTTAGCAAACCACAAATTGATAATCATATTTCATTAAGTCTAAGGAACTTTTTTTTTTTTTTTTTAAAAGAGAGAAAGTCATGCCGTGTTGCCCTGGCTGGGTTCAAGTGATGCACCCATGTCAGCCTGGGACCGTAGGTGTGCCACAGTGTCCAGCTGGCACCACCAGTTTTAAAGAGATACCTTTGTGTATCACTACAAAAGAATACTGCTAACTGAATTGATGTTTTCTTGTCACTTAAAAGGTTTATTTTATACTTAGTGAAAGAGCTCCTTTAGACTTACGTGGGTATGGAATTTTATCATATCACTCTTGCATGACATACAAAGACTTAGTTGTCAGTGTCCATATTTTTTCATACAGTATCAAACTCTGTTCTGTCAAGAGTGTTGATGGTGTAGCATTTCTTAAAAGAGCTCTCCAGTATTTTCTCCAGGATTTTGTTCCAAGCCATTAACACTTATTCTGTAAGTTTTTATGCTGGTATGCACCAACAGCAAATACTTGCTTTACTCATTCAAAATATTCCTTCTATTTTGGTGCTATTCTGAATACATGATAACTTCTCTCAGTGCCGATTAATGGTGTAATTTTTTTGAAGACACTTAATGTGGTAATTAAGCCTGTCACGTATGGTACAACAGTGTAGCCAGGCATTCAGTTGAAGTCATGTAGACTACATGTGCAGGAATGTAGTTGATGCCTGGCTGTCCGCAATTGGAAGACAGATCCTGATTTCAGAGATGTTAAAATGGAAAAATGTGTGCTTAGCTAAAGTCAGGGAAAGAAGCAAGGAGTGAGATTCAAAACTCTTGTCTGGTATCATGGAAAGGTTTTCTTTATTTCTTTACTTTTTTCTTTTTTTTTTTTGAGACGAATTTTGCTCTTGTCGCCCAGGCTGGAGTGCAGTGGCACGATCTCGGCTCACTGCAACGTCTGCCTCCAGGCTCAAGTGATTCTCCTGCCTCAGCCTCCCAAGTAGCTGGAATTACAGGCATGCGCCACCATGCCCAGCTAATTTTGTATTTTTAATAGAGATGGGGTTTCCCTATGTTGGCCAGGCTCGTCACGGACGTCTGACCTCAGGTCAGGCCTCCCAAAGTGCTGGCTTTACAGGCGTGAGCCACCTTGCCTGGCTTATTTCCTTTTAGAGATAATACTAAATAATAATCAGGCCAGGCACAGTGGCTCACGCCTGTAATCTGAGCACTTTGGGAGGGTGAGGCGGGGCCATCACCTGAGGTCAAGAGTTCCAGAGCAACCTAGTCAACATGGTGAAACCCCATCTCTACTAAAAATACAAAAAATAGCCCGGCACAGTGACGTGCACCTGTGGTCCCAGCTACTCAGGAGGCTGAGGCAGGAGAATCGCTTGAACCTGGGAGGGGGAGGTTACAGTGAGCCGAAATCATGCCACTGCACCTCCAGCCTGGGTGACAGAGCAAGACTCTGTCTTTTAAAAAAAAAAAAAAGTAATAATTATTAATCATATTGATTGACTTTCTTTTGGTGAAGTCTCTCACTTTTTATTGTTTTCAAGAATTTCAGGGGCCTTAGTAAAACTGGCTCATAACCCTCAAAAACTAGAAGGGGATAGATAAAAAAGTTGTGAGTTTTTTTGTTTGTTTGTTTTTGAAGAGTCTCACTGTCGCCCAGGTTGGAGTGCAGTGGTACAATCTTGGCTCACTACAACCTCCACCTCCTAAGTTCAAGCAATCCTCCTTCCTCAGCCTCCTGAGTAGCTGGGATTACAGGCATGCACCACCAGTCCTGGCTAATTTTTGTATTTTTTGTAGATACAGGATTTTACCATGTTGGCCAGACTGGTCTTGAACTCCTGACCTCAGGTGATCACCTGCCTCGGCCTCCCAAAGTGCTGGGATTACAGGCGTGAGGCACCACACCCGGCCAAGATAAAGAAGTTTTTTATATAGTCAAACTTTGTGGGTGTAACTGGTTACTGACTTCCCTCTTATGAAATAACCTATCTCCCTCTGTTACATAAGCAATATGATTAAAACTAATGAAATATTTATGTACGTTATACTCAGAGAGGAGGGGCAATTGCAGCATATTTTGTATTTTGCAGGATTTTATTTTATTTTGTACTTTTTGTTCCTAACGCTTAGTTTTCTCAGACTTTTTATTAAATGATAATTTGATTTCATCTGAGAGTTTACTCTTTATTTCTAGATGTCAGGATTTCAGTGGTTCTTTCAAAAATAATAGCTCTACTGCTTACTCTGTGATTAATTATTTTCCCTAGGCCTCAGGATCATTCAGCTCAGCAAACAAATACCGCTGGAAGCAATGTTACCACATCATCAACTCCTAATAGTAACTCCACATCTGGTTCTGCTACTAGCAACCCTTTTGGTTTAGGTAAGTGTCTTTAGTCATCTCCATAGGGATGGGAAAAAATACTCCTTTCCCTTCCTGGGTAGCTTCAGATAAAATGAGAAAAGAAAACGTATGTCACTTTAACAACAAAAATTAAAAAAAAAAACTTATATATTCCTATAATTGTAGATATTAAGGAAATAGGTAGGGATATGGATATTCTTACATATCAGTTGGTGCCTTTCTTTTTAATAATGAAAGAGATGTAGTGTGTGTGTACCTGATCTGACTACCACATAATTTAGTATGAGTAAGATTAGCTGGTTATTTATTTATTTATTTTTTTGAGACGGAATCTCGCTCTGTTAGCTGGTTATTAATCATAAGCCAGCGTCCCTGAATCATAATTTTTTCATTAGTAAAAGGAAAGAATCAGACTGCATTAGTTATTTTGTAACTGTCCTGAACACATGGAAAGGGGTCTGGGAAGCCAGCCTAGCCTAAAACTGCTTTTGCTTTTATTATATTAGTTTTGTTTTATTTTTTAAGAGAGGCAGGATCTTGCTCAGTCACTGAGGCTAGAGTGCAGTGGTGCCATCATAGCTCACTGCAGCTTCAGACTCCTGGCTTATGGCGTCCTGCCTTGGTGTCCCAAAATGCTGGGGTTACAGATGTGAGCCACTGTGCCTGGCCTGTATTAGATTTATATATTGAGGTTCTGTGGAAGATTTTTTTTTTTTTTTTTTGAGACAGAGTCTTGCTCTGTTGCCCAGGCTGGAGTGCAGTGGCGTGATCTGGGCTCACTGCAACCTCCGCCTCCCGGGTTCAAGCGATTCTCCTGCCTCAGCCTCCTGAGTAGCTGGGATTACGGAGTGTGCCACCACGCCCAGCTAATTTGTTTGTATTTTTAGTAGAGATAGGGTTTCACTGTGTTAGCCCAGATGGTGTAGATCTCGTGACCTTGTGATCCCCTGAAGTGCTGTTATCCATTATCTTTTGATAATAGATAGCCAATCTCAGTGGCTTATTACAACAAAGCTTCATTTCTTGCTACATTTTTCTGCATGCTACTTGCTTTTTACCGGTTTGTAAGGTGCCCGTCCATATAGTCCCTCAGAGACTCAAGGTAATGAAAGTCATTTTTCATTCTGCTGTATTATAGCTCTACCGTTTGGAACATGGCAGAAGAGACAGCTAAAGGGTTTTAAGTTGAACCTGCTATACTTTGACCAGAAGTGGCACATACCATTTCTTGTAGTCCTTTGGCATTTCACATAGGCCTGTCCAAGTGCAAAAGAAATAATAAGGCTGCAAAATGAAATGTTTGGTGAGCACTGCAATCTGCTACTGTAGTTAGTCATACTGAAGTTTTTGTGGTTTCCAGAATGCATTAATACATTTATCTCTGTGCTTTTTGTATATGGTGTTCATTGTGCCTAGTATTCAGGCCCCCTCCTAACCTTCTTTACGTTTCCTTGCCAGAGTATTTATGCTCCAGACTCATTAAGTATCGTCTCTTCTTCTGAAAGTAGGCATTCCACTTAGGTTATATTACCATAATATCCTGTGAATATTCTTTACTGAAGTACTTAACATCTGTGTAGACATTTATTTTCTTGTCTGTCTTTCCCACAGTTCTGAGAATGTCTTTCTCTTTGCCTTATTCTCAATACATGTGTAGCACAGTCTCTGGCATATATAAAAAGTGCTTAGTAAGTGAGGAATGAATGCATTTGGTTGGTTCTGTAATTTTACAAAGTAAACACTTTGTGATTACCAAAGTAAGCACTTGGTCATCCTGTTGCTCTGTTAGGTTTCTCCTTGGTTTAAGTCCTCCAAAGAGAAATCTATTTCCAGGTGTTCCCTGGCTTTCTGTATCCTTGATTGGCAGTATCAGCCCTCTTGTACCCAGAGTTTATAGGTGAATTCTGCTTCCTGTTAATAGAACTTAAACTAGTCTTTTGGAAAGATTATTAGAAGTATAGTCTGGTGTGTGTATTTATTATTTCTTCCTTTAGCTGGCATATTCTGGAGTGTTTTTTTCTGACACCAGCCAGTTGTCCAACACCAGCTCTGTGTCCAAGATTCAGTTTCTTTTCTGATACTGCCTACCTACAGTTAGTATCCGGTCTCACAAGTTAGCAGACTTAGTCCTGCAAGACTGCCCCTACTTCAGATACTAGTCACAAGTTCTAGGCCACCTGTACTTCTAACTGACCAGTTCTAAATTGGGGGTTCCCCTGACCTCCTCCTCAGGTTCAATGATTGCTAGAATGGCACCTGGAACTCAAGAAAACACTTATACGTTTACCTGTTTATTATAAAGGATACAACTCAGAAACAGACAAATCTTGAAAGAGAATTATAAGGGCACAAGGTATGTGGGGCATGGAAGTTCAGCTCAAAGGTTCCAGGTCCCCTCAGCGCACAACTCTTCTAACACTCAGATATGCTTTTCATGTTGAGTTTTCTTAATCTTATTGTTCAAGAATTTGCATAGAGCTCTATCTCCAGCTCCCTTCCCTCACTTTCTTGGTGGGTGGGGCTGAAAGCTTCAGCCCTTTAATCACTTTGTCTTTCTGGTGCCCAGCTCCTTTCTGAGGCTATCCAGGGGCCTAAGTCACTTCATTAGCATAATTTTCAAAAAGGGCTTGTAATGAATAATAAAAGATACTCCTGTCACTCAGAAAATTCCAAAGGTTTTAGTAACTCAGGATCAAGGAGAAAGACCAAATATTTTTATGTATTATACTACACACATGAAAATATATTTTGTTGATTTTATTACTTAAATTTAATAACCAAAGTGTAAATTTTTGGCTAATTTCAATGATAGGAATTAAATATTAGTAATAGGTATTTGATTGTTTTTAAATGATTTCTTGTGATAGACTGTTGGGTCAACTAATACTTTTTTGCATCTTCATAGTTTATGTCATGTTAATGATAAATTTTCTGACTTTGGTTTGTATGTTTTTGCCCTTTGTCTTCTTAGGTGGCCTTGGGGGACTTGCAGGTCTGAGTAGCTTGGGTTTGAATACTACCAACTTCTCTGAACTACAGAGTCAGATGCAGCGACAACTTTTGTCTAACCCTGAAATGATGGTCCAGATCATGGAAAATCCCTTTGTTCAGAGCATGCTCTCAAATCCTGACCTGATGAGACAATTAATTATGGCCAATCCACAAATGCAGCAGTTGATACAGAGAAATCCAGAAATTAGTCATATGTTGAATAATCCAGATATAATGAGACAAGTATGTGGAAAGTTCTTTCAATTTGTTTAGCTAAAAAATGATATATTTGTTATTTAATTTTCTATGATTAACGAGATTGTCCTATATGTATGGTTAAGCTAAAGAGAGAAATCCTTATCTTTGTTTAAGAAAACTCAACAAAGCCCTAATTTGGCTATTTGAACTCTGAATTTTCTGTTAAATTGAGGGATCTTTGTAAATAGTTTATTTTAAAGGATTAAGAATCAAAAAGTCCAATGTTGGAGATGGGAAATTCACTCATAACGAAGTGCTTCCTTCTTTATGTTATTTGAATGCTAAGTTCCTTTTTTGAGGTGAAATACACCAGGGATTATTTAAAATAATCTCCTGCCTTGTATATTGAATACAAAATTGCAACAACTCTAAAGCTTTAATTGGTTTTTATTTGTGATTCCAGAATCAGACAACACCTCGTTTTATAAAATAGAGTGTTCCCATGAGCTGAGCAGAAGAGGTTGGCTTTATAGGCATAAAAGGGCTGAAGAAAGCAAAAATGAACAAAAAGCAGATGGATCATTTCAAAGTTACTTTCCTAATAGGGTTAAAATGGAGGGAACTCTTTCTTGTTACAGTGACTCACGTTGACTGCAGCTTACTATGGTTTTGAGGGGGAAACTGGCCCTTTTCATAGTTGACTTGATTACATGGCACTTGGCACAAGTGGCTCCATTTTGGTTTGGTCTGGTCTGCTGGGGCATAGTGCAGGAGGCTGGTCCAAAACAGTGGCCTCCCATAAACTTTGTTTAATGGCAGTTAATAAAGTAATTCATGTAATTCATGTGTATTTCAATGCCTTTTTTTTCTTTTTTAATTTTTTCGGAAATCTTTTTCTTAGACGTTGGAACTTGCCAGGAATCCAGCAATGATGCAGGAAATGATGAGGAACCAGGACCGAGCCTTGAGCAACCTAGAAAGCATCCCAGGGGGATATAATGCTTTAAGGCGCATGTACACAGATATTCAGGAACCAATGCTGAGTGCTGCACAAGAGCAGGTGATCCACTGGCTCCAAGGTTCAGGCCAAGCAGTAGCTTCTGTTTTAACACAAATATGTGTATGACTGAGGGTAGCTTTTATATGAGGAATGTGGTTTTCAGTTTTTAAAAAGTTTAGTGGCCGGGCACGGTGGCTCATGCCTGTAATCCCAGCACTTTGGGAGGCTGAGGCGTGCAGATCCCGAGGTCAGGAGCTCGAGACCATCCTGGCTAACATGGTGAAACCCCGTCTCTACTAAAAATACAAAAAATTAGCCGGGCGTGGTGGTGGGCACCTGTAGTCCCAGCTACTTGGGAGGCTGAGGCAGGAGAATGGTGTGAACCCGGGAGGCGGAGCTTGCAGTGAGCCGAGATCGCACCACTGCACTCCAGCCTGGGTGACAGAGCAAGACTCCATCTCAAAAAAAAAAAAAGTTTCTTGTCTTATTTAAAACAAAAGCTTATTATTTGTGATTTTTTTGTCTTTATTACAGTTTGGTGGTAATCCATTTGCTTCCTTGGTGAGCAATACATCCTCTGGTGAAGGTAGTCAACCTTCCCGTACAGAAAATAGAGATCCACTACCCAATCCATGGGCTCCACAGACTTCCCAGAGTTCATCAGCTTCCAGCGGCACTACCAGCACTGTGGGTGGCACTACTGGTAGTGCTGCCAGTGGCACTGCTGGGCAGAGTACTACTGCGCCAAATTTGGTGCCTGGAGTAGGAGGTATGCTTATAACAACTCAGGCTTTTTTCTTTGTTGTCCTCACTTACATAATTAAAACATTGTTTATACTCTTATTCTTTGTGCTTTTGTGTGTGTGTGTATGGTGAGTATCTTTTATAAACTATCTTTTTCATGTTGTTTTTTTTTTTTGATATAGAGCCTCACTCTTATTGCCCAGGCTGGAGTGCAGTGGCACAGTCTTGGCTCACTGCAGCCTCCACCTCCTGGGTTCAAGCGATTCTTCTGCCTCAGCCTCAGCCTCCTGAGTAGCTGGGATTATAGGTGCCCACCACCACGCCTGGCCAATTTTGTATTTTTAGTGGAGACGGGGTTTCTCCATGTTGGTCAGGCTGGTCTTGAACTCCCGACCTCAGGTGATCCGCCTGCATCGGCCTCCCAAATTGGTGGGATTATAGGCGTGAGCCACTGCATCTGGTCACATTTTTTTTTTTTTTAATGGAAGCTTTAAATGTAGAGAGAACACTTAGTTATCTGTGTGGTTGTTACTAGAGCACATGTTTGCTGTCTTTAGCCTGGTTTTGTATTTTTAGATCAGTAGATTGTCAAGCACGCGTCTTGAGGTCAAGGCTATACTGGCTGCATCAGAGCACCTGCCAGATTTATTAAAAATCAGATTCCCAGATCTTACCCTCAGACTTTGTGGAGCTGAATTTTTCATAGTGGGGTTAAGATGTGTGTTTGTGTAAAGCAGATTCTCATGTGTGAACAGGTTAGAAATTTACTTTTGTCCACTTTTCTGTAGACTGGACTCAGTAAGTAGATGTCTTCCTTTCAGCTGTTCAGATACTACATGCTGATGTTTTGTCCATGAATTAAGTCCAAGATCATTAGGCATAGTGACAGTTTTGGTCCTAATGCTTGGCATATAAGTAGGAAGAAATGAGGCATGGGAACACTTCCCTAAGATGAGACAGACTGGGTATGTTTTAAAAGTTGCCTGCACTTTGGCAGAGAAAGTGGAAAGATGAGGTGCTGAATGAAGAATTTTTAAAAATTCATTCCTGAAAGAAGAATCAGAATGAGAAGAGTAATTAATGATCACAGTTGATATATATTCTTTTATAGAATACAGTGGATATCTTGAGATTTATGTATATAATATAGTTTTTGTAAAATCTGAATACCATTTTAAAATCAATAAAAAATAATCTGTTCTATATTCTACTTAATCCTTGCTTGATACTTCCTAACAATTTTTTGAGAGGGTTGCATTGTTCTTACTTTAAAGGATATAGAGCAGGCAAAGATTTAATCATATTTCCTGACTGGTTAGGCTATTGTTTTCTTTCCCTTTACCATGGTTGTCTACAGTAATAACTTTTGTCTAAAAAACCAAAAATCAGTTTTGCAACCTTTTACTCAGATATTTAATGGTTTGATACTTTTAACATTTCATGTTAATATTTCCATCAAAGGAAAACAAGAAATAGCAAGAATGAACTTTCTGTGCTGTGGCCTATCAGATTGTCAGCATATTTGTACAGTATTATGATTCTTACTCAACAGTGACATTTGATGCATACATATATGCACACACATACATGTAAAGATGAAATTCTTGACTCTTCTTTGGTCCTGTAAGCACTTACTCTAGAATGTAAGGAAGTGTTAGAGCAGGAGTTGACAGATTTTTCATGTGAAGGGTCAGATAATACTTTAGGTATTGCTGGCCAAGAGGCAAAATGGAGAATATTGCATCAAAAGACAAATTTCCACAAATTTTTTAATTGACAAAATAAAAAATTTGGTAATATTTAGTTACAATATTTTCCTTATATCTACTGATAAGAAGAATGGGACTTCTTTGGGGGAATAACATTTTGCTTAATTGAGGTTCAGTGTTCTGTTTACCAAAATTGCAAAGTTCATCTGTTAATAGTGATATGTAATGAGACTTGACTGACTTTATTCAAAATACATACTCATTCCAAAAGCATTTGATTTTAATAGCATATTTATCAGTTTGGAAGGCATTTATAGAATTCCATTAGATAATGTTGTTTTTAACATGCCATTACATTCAGATTAATCACTTCAAAGCGAAGATTAGATAGTAGCTCCTCAATTGCACAGTTAAGTGAATTTTGAAATGTGAATTGCCTTTGCATTTGCATTGAGGTCTGAAAAATGTTGCTGGTAGTATGAGCTCAAAAGTAAATATTCAAATTTGTGGGAATGGAGATCTCGTTTCTCGTGATTTTTTTTTTTTTTTTGACAACATAGGAAGTCTGTAAAGCACCTTGACATTAGTTGTGATTCAAACAATTTTAGTTGTCAAAATGACTTTAGTATGATCACACATGAATGCTGCTTTGCTTTGTAGTTGTAGGTTGAATTCATGGAGAAGCATTACGAAGTCTCTAAGAAAAACGAATTCATATAGTAATTCAGTGTTTGGTTGTTGGTAGGTTGACAGGGTGGTGGTTCTCATTTACCAAAATTTTAGTCTTTGGCGTGAGCTGATAGAATAATGCAATGAAACTTTACGTCTGCTAAGTCACCATCAACCTTTTGTGTGGTTAGAATGTTGAGCTATTGTCAGATATATATAATGTCAGAATATTGAGCTATTGTTAATAAAAGTAATGAAGTTGACTATGGTTAAGTTCACAGGAGTGAACAATGCTCCTCATTGATACTCCTGGTTCAGTAGTATGTGATCTCCTGGTTCAAGATAGATCAAAATATTTTCCAGAGTAGCTCCTGATGAATAAGACAGTGAATAACTATAGTCTTTAAAGTTAAATACCTTACATTTTTATATGCTTTGAAAATATGTCCAACTAAGTCCTTTTAATTCCGCACGTAGCAGATTCTACTTCAAGTTGTATAAAATTCGTATTTCTCACCTTTTTAAAAAATAGTCTTACCCTGGTTGTTCCATTCAGATTATTTATAGAGGATAATTTTTTGGTCACTTCAAACTTGCCATTGATTCCTCATACAATTGAGCAGTATCAGTAACATCTGTCAGCTCATCAGGAACTTAGAAATAGCACTCAGAATCATTTGCATTGTTTTTAAATTGAATATTGATATCCTTAACTCTGAGAAAAACTGTTCTTCCTGAGAGCCGAGTAGACTTCAGTGAGTTTATTTTCTCTGGACACATTTGGTTACTGCAATCAAGATTTAATTAACTGTTAGTCATGACTAGTACTTGGCTTTCTTTGGCTAACAAGTTACTTGGAAACTTAACTTTGGTTGCAGTCTTACTTTCATTTTTGTGAAAAAGTGGCTATGATGAGGTATTTCGTTTTAAAGTTTATATTTTTTCTGACCATTGCTTTTCTGTGAGTGGGGAGTATTGTGATGAGTAGTTGTACCGGAAGTGTTTATATATGTTGTATTCTTTCAGTGTCATTGCATAAGAAACACAAGTTTTGCCATCTCATTTAATAAAATATATTCCACTGTGCCTTAGAAACCTGACATTTGTAACTCCCCTTCTTCCTTTTTTCTTGTTCTGGCATGATTGGTATATACTGGTTATTATTTTTTTTAATGCTGCAGTGATTTTGTGCTGCGTGAGTATAATTGATTCACTGTGATTTGTAGTAGTATACTGTACAACAGTATGAAGGAGGCCAGGTGTGGCATGGTGGCTCACACTTGTTATCTCCCAGCACTTTGGGAGCCTAAGGTGGGTGGATTGCTTGAACCCAGAAGTTTGAGACCAGCCTAGCCAACATGGTGAAACCTCATCTGTACAAAGAAGACAAAAAGTAGCCGGGCATGTTGTGCAGCTGTAGTATGGCTACTTGGGAGGCTGAGGTGGGAGGATTACCTGCACTTAGGGAGGTTGAGGCTGCAGTGAACTGTGATGGCGTCACTGCACTCCAGCCTGGGAGATGAAATGAGACCCTATCTCAAAACAAAACAAATAACAGTATGAAGGAGTGACAGTACCATAGACAGTTTCTGTTGCAAGTCCTCACTGCTTTTGTGAAAGCGCAAAACACCCATAGACAATAAGTGAGAATGACTGTTCCAGTAAAATGGTATTCATGGACACTGAAATTTGAATTTCGATAGTTTTCACATTTCACAAAATGTTTATCTTGGATTTGTTTTTCCCTTAACCATTTAAAAATAAAAACATAAAGTGATCTTTTTTTAAAGACCGAGTCTTGACCTGTCACCCAGGCTGGAGTGCAGTAGCATGATCTCGGCTCACTGCAACTTCCACCTCCCGAATTCCAGCGATTCTTGTGCCTCAGCCTCCAGAGTAGCTGGGATTACAGGCACGCACCACACCTGGCTGATTTTTTTGTATTTTTTTCTTAGTAGAGACAGTGTTTCACCATGTTGGCCAGGCTGGTCTCAAACTCACGTCCTTGGGTGATGTGTCTGCCTCGGCCTCCCAAAGTGCTGGGATTACAGATGTGAGCCGCTGTGCTCAGCTAAAAATTGTTTTGGTTTGTTTTGTTTGAGACAGAGTCTGTTGCCCAGGCTGGAGTGTGTTGGTATGATCTTGACTCACTGCAGCCTTCTTCTCCTGGGTTCAAACGATTCTCCCTTCTCAGCCTCCCCAGTAGCTGGAATTACAGGTGTGCACCACCACACCTAGCTAATTTTTGTATCTTTAGTAGAGACGGGGTTTCGCCATGTTGGCCAGGCTGGTCTTGAACTCCTGACCTCAAATGATTCGCCAGCCTCAGCCTCCCAAAGTGCTGGAATTACAGGTATGAACCACCACGCCTGGCTTTGAAACGTAAAAGCAATTTTTAACTCATTGACTGAGCAGAAACATGTTATAGGCCAGATTTGTCCTGCAGGCTGTAGTTTGCCAGCCTGGCTTAGAATACAGACACACCTCATTTTGTTGTGCTTCACAGATAGTGTGATTTTCACAGTTTGAAGGTTTGCAGTGAGCCTGCATTGAGCAAGTCTGTTGGTACCATTTTTCCAACAGCATGTGCCCACTTCATGTCTCTGTGTCATAGTTTGATAATTCGCACAATATTTCAGCCTTTTTCATTATTATTCTGTTATGGTGATTCTGTAATCAGTGATCTTTGATGTTACTTTAGTAATTGTTTTGGGGTACCAGGAACCACCTTGTACCTGGCGAACTTAATCAGTAAATGTGTGTGTTCTGACTGTTCGGCTGACTGGCTGTTCCGCTTCTCTCTTTCTCTCCTTGGGTCTCCCTGTTCTCTGAGACACAACATTGAAATTGGGTCAGTTAATAACTCTACAGTGGCCTCTAAGTATTCAAGTAGAAAAAAAGAGTCCTGCATCTCTTACTTTAAATCAAAAGCTAGAAATAATCTTAAGTTTAATGAGGGAGGCATATCAGAAGCTAAGATAGGCCAAAAGCTAGGCCTCTTGCACCAAACCGCCAAGTTGTGAATGCGAAGGAAAAGTTCTGGAAGAAAATTACAAGTGCTACTCCAGTGAAGACATGACAAAAAAGTGAAACAACTTTATTGCTGATGTGGAGAAAATTGTAGTGATCTGGATAGACAATCAAACCAGCCACACCATTCCCTTAAGCCAAAGTCTAACCTAGAGCAAGGCCTTAACTCTTTAATTCTATGAAGGCTGAGAGGTAAGGAATCTGCAGAAGAAAAGTTGGAAACTAGCTGAAGTTGACTAGCTTAGGTTTAAGGAAAGAAGCCATCTCCATAACATGAAAGTACAAGGTGAGGCAGTGGGTGCTGTTGTAGAAGCTGCAGCAAGTTATCCCGAAGATCTAGCTAAGATCATCGAGGAATGTGGCTACATGAAACAACCAGTTTTTAATGTAGGTGAAAATCAGCCCTCTATTGGAAGAAGATATCTAGAATTTTCATTTCTATAGAGAAGTCAATTCTTAGCTTCAGTGCTTCAAAGGGAAGGCTGACTCTATTAGGGGCTAATGTGTCTGGTGACTAAGGTAAAGCTAGTGCTCATTTATTATTCCAATAATCCTAGGGCCTTAAAAATTATGCTAGATCTATTCTACCTGTGCTCTATAAACAGGAAAAAAAAAAAAAAAAAGCCTGGATGACAGCACATCTGTTTACAGCATGGTTTACTTAATATTTTAAGTCTACTGGTGAGACATTGCTAAGGAAAAGATTCCTTTCAAAGTATTACTGCTCATTGATAGTGCATGTAGTCACGCAAGAGCTTTGATGGAGATGTACAAGGAGATTAATGTTGTTTTTATAAAAAGCCTGCTAACTAACACAGCATTCATTCTGCATACAGCCCATGGATCAAGGAGCAATTTCAAGTCTTATTTAAGAAATATGTTTCATAAGACTATAGCTGCCTTAGATAATGAGTCCTCTAATGGATTTGGGCAAAGTAAATTGAAAACCTTCTGGAAAGGATTCACCATTCTCAGTGTCGTTAAGAACATTCCTAATTCGTGGAGAGGATGTCAAAATATCAACATGAATAGGAGTTTGGAAGAAGTTTATCCCTCATGGATGCCTTTGAGGAGTTCAAGACTTCAGTGGAGGAGGGGACTGTAGAAGTAGTGGAAATAGCAAGAGAACTAGAATGTAAAGTGGAGCCCGCCAGATGTGTTGGTTTATACCTGTAATCCCGGCACTTTGGAAGGTTTGGGCAGGAGGATCCCTTGAACCTAGGAATTGGAGGCAGCAGTGAGCTGAGTTCGTGCCACTCCCCTCACTCCAGCCTGGGTGACAAAAGCGAGACTCCATCTCAGTTCAAAATGAAAAGAAGAGGTGGAGCCTGAACACTGACTGCGTTGCTACAATGTCATGAAAAAACTTGAACAGATGAGTTGCTTTTTGTAGATGAGCAAAGAGTGGTTTCTTGAGATAGAGTCTACTCTAAGTGAAGATACTGTGAACATTGTTGAAATGACAACAAAAAATTCAGAATGTTTTATAAACTTAGTTGATAAAGCAGTGACAGGGTTTGAGAGGATTGGCTCCAATTTTGAAAGTTCTGTGGTAAATGCTATCAAACAGCATAGAATGCAACAAAGTTTTCCTGATGTGGCAAACTTCATTGTTGTCTTATTTTAAGAAGTTACCACAGCCACCTCAACCTTTAGGGACCACCAACTGACTCACTGTTAGCAACTTTTGGCAATAAAGTATTTTTAAATTTGTGTGCAGAGTGTTTTTTAGACTGAAGGCTGTGGCATACTTAATAGACTACAATGTCATGCAAACAACTTGTGTGTGGGCTGGGAAACCAAAAAATGTGTGTGACTTGCTTTATTGCACAGCAGTCTGGAACCAAACCCACAGTATCTCCAAGGTTGGACTCTAGGATGTGAAAAAACCTACGTTAAAATTTACAACATGAGAAAATAGGAAAAACAAGAACTATTAAAAACAGTAGAATTATAATAAACTAGAAAGATATGCAAGAGGAGTTAGATGTCTTAAGCCTGATATAACTACACTGGATGGAATAGCAGAAGAGAAATGAAAAACCTGATGAGTTGACTTGGCATAGTAAGTTTGAGAATATATTTGAGTTTGAGTGTATCTAGTTGGCAGTTGAAAACCTAGGTGTAAGTCAAGCAAATTAACTTAGTTTTCAAAGAAAATTTGCCTGAATATGCAGTTGTCATCAGATATGGAATTCACATAAATTCAGCTGTAGCCCTTGGCAATTAAAGGAAAAACAATAATCATAACAAGTGCTTTATACATTAATTTCTTACAACCACCCTATGAAGTAGATACCGCTTTCTCCATTTTACACATGGGGAACGCTAAACATGAGGACACTAAATAACTTGCCCAAGATCACAGGGGTTAGGTTAGATTTGAACCCAGGTAGTCAGGCTCCTGATACTGCTGGGAGTCACTGTTACCTGTGGTTTCAAATGTTAAATGTGCCTACTATTTTACTTAGTGAGTGGCAGTACACAGTGAAAATGGGTGGAGGCATAAATCTTTTGTTCCTTTGGACATGAAGGCTTCCTTCTTTCATAAGGGTAAGCGATATTGAGTGCCAAATATGATTCTAATTAATCCTTCGCAGTCCTGGAGGAAAAGTTGGCTCAGTCTTTTTCACTGTATGGAATTTTTCAGCAGTAATTTTGACCGTATCTAATTTTTGCCTTAAGTTGACTTCAGAAGTCCTCCATTAGACAAGATTTTACTGTAAATACAACCAGAATGTTTAAACTCGTAAGTCCTCTTTTCCTGGTATATGTTGGGCATGTACTTTTAGAGATCTTTTAGTTTTAAAGTTCTTTCATAGTTCAATTGATACATAATATGTATAATCATTTGTACCTGGTAAAATTAAAGCTTTAACTTTTGTGTATTTTTCCTTAATATGTCTTTTTTTAAAACAAACTTTCAGCTAGTATGTTCAACACACCAGGAATGCAGAGCTTGTTGCAACAAATAACTGAAAACCCACAACTTATGCAAAACATGTTGTCTGCTCCCTACATGAGAAGCATGATGCAGTCACTAAGCCAGAATCCTGACCTTGCTGCGCAGGTGAGTTTGTAATTGTATTGAAAAGGACTGTGCAGTGTGAATTAAAATAACCTAATCTAGTAATTGTGATTTTTGGCACATTTGTGTTGTGTATGATATCTTAACACACTAGAAAAGTAAACTGTGTCTCCAGTTTTTTAGACCATGTATTTCTTTGTCGTAAATTAATACAAAACATCTTTATCTCTGCCATTCATTGACTAGAAAGAAGTGCAGGTTTCCTTTGTTTCTACATATGTTGAGTTACGAGACAAGTACAAAGTTATGGAATGCCCACTCTTTTGAAGATAAACTACTTAATTGTAAATCTTGAAAGCAATTAAGAGCAATGTTAATACGTTTGAAATACTTTTATTTAGTAGATCACTCAGATTATAATAGTCACACTCAAAATGGCAGTTGTAAAATAGTATGAAGTCATTTATTAAAGATGGGGATTTGTCAGAACAATGTTCTCATTCTTTCAACTATTGATTTCCCTGCTGAAGATCGTATACTGGTCCCTTATTAATGTATTCCTTTTTCTAATTTGTTTCTAAAGAGACCACAGCTAAGAAAATTAGGGGATCTCAATGCTGGCTGAACATTCAGGATCACTTGGAAAGCTTTATAGACAGTACTGACACTTGGGCCCCATCCTTAGACATTTTGAGATAATTGCATCTGATAACTCCTTCCCCCTCAAGTTCTCTAGGTACTGTCTAGGTTCCTTACCATAGGACTTGAAAAACCACGGAGAATGTGAAATAAACCTTGATCATCTGTAGTTTATATTTGCTGTTTGTTAAAAACGGCTTCTGTAGTGCGTCAGGAATTTGGAGGACTTTATAGTTAATCCCATCCCTTACATTTTAAAAGCTTTAAGTCAAATGAATGGTTTTTATTTTCTAAATTCTAGAACTATATTGATTCAAGTATCTTTGACGTATAATTCTCAGTAATAACTTATGCCCTCACCAAATTTGTGAAATTGGAAATAACGAATTTTAAGAAGAATTTTTGTGTCTGTGATTCTGTATATTGGAGGTACATTTTATGGAAGATTGATTTTTGCATATGAAACTTATCAGACTGAGTTGTTAGTATTAAATGCCTCAATTTACCATTTTATTATTATAAAATACCAAATAATAAGCCATTTTAAGTGTGTATATGGCTAATACTGAATGTGCATCTTGCTTTCAAAATTTGACTTTAACAAGCACATGCCTAGCAATTTGTAATAATCTTACATTAGTAAAGTGACTTGAGCACTCACATACTATTTTTTTACTCTAAAGCACAATGTTGCTAATACTAGATTGGCAGGTCTTTTATTACAGATAGTTTAGAAACCATTACAGTGTTCTTGTTATCTGCAGATTAAAATCTGTGTTTTTTTCTATTCTTTTGATTTTTAAATATTTAAAAAGAGTCTTTTCTATTCTTTTGATTTTTAAATATTTAAAAAGAGTCTTGAGTGTAAAATCTTGTAGTATAAGCACTCAGGTAAGTTATAAGAAATATCCTTATCAAATGAGATGATTATCTGCGAATAAATACATTTAAGATGACATGCTTTTTAAATATTAAATGAAGTAAATTCCAAAAGATATGTGTGCTAACCTCGTTAATATGTTCATGATAAAGAAGTATTTGACTGGAACCAATAAAGAAGCAGGTTTGTTGACCTTAAGCTGATATTAGTTTACTTACTGTGAACTTATTGGTCACTTTGAAATAAATACTGTATATTCCTGAAAGGTTGTCTGACATCTGCTTTGGTTATTGTATTGAAATTAACTAAAAGATCACTTTGCAAGAATTGGGGTGAATTTACTCTACCGGCATTTACATTGCTCTTAAATACAGTTAACTATTATGGTGAGGATCATTTCCTCCCTAGACTTTGGATAGGTAAATAGGCTGTCAGTAAGTCCTTGTTAGTTGACTTTTTTACTCCATCTGGAGAAAATGATATAAAATGTGTCTTTTGAAGCTACAAGAATTTATTAGTTTCTGGTTATGCTGATTGTGTATTTTAATCTTATTTTTAGGTATATGACATCATACTAATATTGATCCTGATTTTTAAATTCTTAACGTTCATTTGAAGGTTAGGAGATGCCACTTTTCTCATCTCTGGTGGTAGTGAGGTGAAATCCAGATGCTAATCTTGGTGTTCTCAAATGGATTTACATATTTTAGGTCTTAAATCATTTAAATACTTTCCCCAGAGGACTGTTGGTGCTAGGCCTGGCTGATTTTCACCTAGCAGCTCCATTTCTCTGGCAAGTTGGTTGCTGTTTTGCGGTGTTATTTTTTTGGACCTAATATTAGCTGTTTTGTAGTAGGCAGGTAGATGTAGTGGTCCTTTTCAGATCTGGATTTTCTCTGTGCCTGCCACTTGTGTGTCGAGGTTTCTAAGCAAGCCATGTTACATAGTTTCATGTATTGATGTTTATGTTTATTCTGTCAGTGTAGTAGAAAATATATCTTCATGAATGCCAGTTACTCCCATTTTTCTTTCAATGGCAAATGTTCACCTTTGTTCAAGGAAAAGCCTAAGAAAATGATTCCTTTTATTTTTTAGGATATTGCATGTCATTATCATAACCACCATTCTCATTGAGAGAAAAGATGCCTTGTTTTTGTTTTTATTCTTCTGGAGATCCCTCTTGTGGACAGTATCTTCCCTTTTCCTTTTTTATTTATGTTCTACCTTCCTCTCTTTTAAGTGCCAGTTTAGGCACTTGGGGGAAGATAGAATAAAACAAGGTACATTACTTGTTTCAGATATTTCCAGTTAAAATTGTTTGAACACTTGCCCCATAGATGATGCTGAATAATCCCCTATTTGCTGGAAATCCTCAGCTTCAAGAACAAATGAGACAACAGCTCCCAACTTTCCTCCAACAAGTGAGTAAGACAAGATGTTAGCTGTCTTGGGTAATGATTTGCTTGAAAAAATTTGATGATAAACATTTTCCTTGCTCTTCTCTGGCTGATAGCAAAACATAGAATAGAGACCAATAATGCTGTCAATTCTTAGAGAATTCAGCTTGATCTTAACTGAGTCCCATTTCGTTGCTGACCTTTTGCTTATGTTTCTTAAACAAATTCTGAGGAAAGAACCATTTTGTTTTTGCTTTTTAGGACCTAGGATTTTGAATGCTTTGTTAATACCATAAACCATTTCCTTTCACTGTACTAACTTTGAAGTGCTTCCTTGTGTCATGTTACGCTTTATGGTTTAACTAATTTTGAGTAACAGGAAAGAGCTACCCTATTCTGTTTTACAGGTTGTTTTCTTCCAAATTAATCGAATTTTTTTTTTCTACGGGTAGATCTCATTTCCTCAAACTTGGGATTAGTAAGATTTAAATGGTCAGTGTTGTCATATAAGGAAGGTTATATTATAAACAAGTACTTGAGATTGCCATGGTATTTTATTATTTAAAACGACAAAAGAGAAGTTAGTCTTGGTGTTTTGAAACTGGTAGTTCTAGGGCTTCATATATTATGCAGATGACTCTCAGGCCTGTAAACCATTTTCCAAGGTTGGTGTCCTTGATCTATTGTAATGATGTAAGCCTATCTTTGGTTAGTCAGGTGGTGTATATTTGGAAGTAGTAAAGCTAAACTCAGCATGCATGTATTAACGTCAAATTTGGAACTGTTGTTTTAGAGTGTACCTTACTGGTAAAATTGTTATATCAGTAACAGGTAACACTTGGTTAGATGGAATATGTGGCTTTTACCATATTACCATGTCGTAAGAATTGTGCATTTGGAGGTTGTCTCTTAGAAAAAATACTTTATCTTCTGTTGGAGAAAGGAAATAGTTGTGGCTTCCAAAGTAGCTCCTGATTTTCTTCCATTATGAAAATGGCTTTCATGATGGACTTAGGAGGAGGTCAAGTAATGATTTGCACACTAGGTTTGCTGTCAAAGAGGAGACACTTGTGTTTATTTTGGGAAAGAAATTATGGATTACCAGTGTCCAGGTGTAAGGTTTTAGATTTTCTCCGGAAGCATAACAAAGATTTAAAAATTTACCTTCACTGATTTTAATTCCTTTGTAACCACTAGTTTCTTTCTTCCTTAGATGCAGAATCCTGATACACTATCAGCAATGTCAAACCCTAGAGCAATGCAGGCCTTGTTACAGATTCAACAGGGTTTACAGACATTAGCAACGGAAGCCCCGGGCCTCATCCCAGGGTAGGCTTATTTGGGGAAGATGATGAAAGTGCATAATGGTTACTTTCTCTGAGAATTTCAGATTTAGTAGTATTCTGCCTTTTTTTTTTTTTTTTTGGTTGTGGGGGAGACAGGGTCTTGCCCTGTCGCCTAGGCTGTGAGTGTGGTGGTGCAGTCATGGCTCACTACAGCCTCTACCTCTCAGGCTCAAGGGATTCTCTCACCTTGGCCTCCTGAGTAGCTAGGACTACAGGTGTGCACCACCACACCCAGCTAATTTGTTTATTTATATATGTTTGTATGTATGTATGCATTTTTGTTGTTTTTAGAGATGGGATTTTGTCATGTTGCCCAGGCTGGTCTCAAACTTCTGGGGTTAAGCGATTTGGCCTGCTAAAGTGGGATCAGAGGCATGAGCCGTGGCACCTGGTCCCCCATCTCCTCCCCCCGCTTTTTTTTTTTATTTAGGAGTTGGATTTTTGCTGTTTTACCCTGGCTGAACTTGAACTTCTAGGCTCAGGTGATCCTCCCACCTCATTCTTCCCAGTAGCTGGGACACAGTGCCTGGCCATGATTGTTTTTAAGTCAGGGTTTTCAAAGTTAAACATCATTATTATTTTTTAAATTCTTTTTAGAGATAGAGTCTCACTCTGTCGACCAGATTGGAGTGCAGTGGTGCAATTTCGGCTTACTTCAGTCTCTACCTCCTGGGCTCAAGCAATCCTCCTACCTCAGCCTGCCAAGTAACAGATACTACAGGTGTGCACCACCACACCCAGCTAATTTTGTTTTTGTTTTTTGTAGAGATGAAGTCTCACAATGTTGCCTAGGCTGATCTCAAATTCCTGGGCTGCTGGGATCATCGGTCTCCCAAAATGAGCCACTGCACCAGGCCAAAAGGGCTTATTTTAAGAAAATAGCTTAGCTTAATTATATTAAAATGTAACCGATTTATGGACTGGCCTCTGGTTTTGCAGGACCTTAGGAGATTTCCTTTTTGTGCTTTCTCTAGGTTTACTCCTGGCTTGGGGGCATTAGGAAGCACTGGAGGCTCTTCAGGAACCAATGGATCTAACGCCACACCTAGTGAAAACACAAGCCCCACAGCAGGAACCACTGAACCTGGACATCAGCAGTTTATTCAACAGATGCTACAGGCTCTTGCTGGAGTAAATCCTCAGGTAGCAGTTCTTTTCCATTCAAGTTTTGTATTCCTTAATGTTGGAAATTTAGAAATTTCCAAAAAGAAGGAAAAAGGAAAGCAGTAGTTCTTAGGTGTTTAGGTTAATGAAAAATACGGTCTTAAGGATATTGAGTAAGAAAACAGGCATTACAAAAGTTGTTGACTTTGGTGCTATCTGAGACACTAAAGGAACATTGTTACGGTTGTAGAGAAGACATGCTACAACCTAAAGTCTTTTTAGAAATTGCCTTTTAAAATGCATTTTTTTTTTTTTTTTTTTTTTAGTTCCTATTTGAAAATCATTTGAAATAGGTTTTGCTTTAAAAAAGTTCTTAGGGAGGAATGGAAACTTGATTATCTCAAGTACTTCCAGGACAACTGTATTCTAGTCTGTCTTTTGACTGGAAAAAAGTCCTGACTACCTTACTCCACCCATTACACCATCTCCTGTGGTAGCTTGTTACATACATATCTATCTATCTATCTATCTATCTATCTATCTATCTATCTATCTATCTAATCTATCTAATCTATCTATCTATCTCGTAATATGGCTAAAGAATATGGACCCCCAATAATGTGCTTGCATCTACAAACATACATTGGCTTTACTAATAATGTGCCATTATATAAAGATGATCGCCAGTTCAAGCCTGTTTTATTAGGTTGTCCCCAAACTTCTTAATGTCTCAAGGTCTGTTAGGTGCTTTCTGTTTTCTTTTCTGGGTTTCTTTTCTTTTTTCTTTTCTTTCCCTTTCCACTTTCCCCTTTACCTTTCTTCTTTCCTCTTCCCCTTTCCCTTTTCTCTTTCCTTTTCCCCTTTCCCTTTTCTCTTTCCTCTTCCCCTTTCCCCTTTCTCTTTTCCCCTTTTTCCCCTTTCCCTCCTTTCCCCCCTTTCCCCCCTTTCCCCTCTTTGCCTTTCCTTTTTCCTTTTTTTTTCCCATACCCTTTCCCCTTTTGACAGACTGCCCAGGCTGGGTGCCATCACAGCTCACTGCATCCTGCACCTCCTGGCCTCCAGCAATCCTTGCACCTTAGCCTCCGGAGTAGCTGGGACTACAGGCGCAGACCACCACACCTGGCTAATTTTTGTATTTTTTGTAGAGATGGGGTTTCGCCATGTTGCCCAGGTTGGTCTCAAACTCCTGAGCTCAAGCTATCCCACCCGCCTTAGCCGCCTCCCAAAGTGCTGGGATTACAGGCGTGAGCCACTGTGCCCGGCCTGCTTTCTGTTTTCAGGCCTTACTAAATACAATAAACAGAGTAGTGTTCTGTCTTATACATATCTGTATTCCTGATAAGCTAGCGTAATATAGTTTCTGGCTCATGGTAGGTACTCAGTAAGTATTCATGGAATAAATAAGAAAGAAGGATTTGGAGTATTAGAATTAATTGTTACATAAGTTAACTTACCTCCGAATTACCAAGTAGGCCTAGGATTGATTGGTCATTTATGTGATTTATGTGGGGTTTTTTTTGTTTTTTTTTTTTAACTTCATTTCTGAAGAAAAGATTTGATGCTGCTGAATAGTCAGAATTAAGAGTATAATTTTGGGCCTGAACTGAATAGTCAGAATTAAGAGTATAATTTTGGGCCTGAACTGAAACTCTTTTCTAAGAGTTGACTGTCCAGTGTGCAAGTTAAACTCACATTCATTCAAAGAATCATTGAAACTTTAGAATTTCATACATGAGGATACCGGCTTTTATAAGTTACTCAATTGGTCAGTAGCTACACAAATTATCTAATTCTGAACTATTTGTATATATATATATGTGTTCAAATTTTTCTGCACGTACATGATCCTCTAAAATAATGGTTGATGTTTATTAAGCTTCCCCCCCTTCCCCACCAAAGTAGAGTCGTGATCTATTTGACGTGATTAGGTATAAACTAGACTATTTAAAATAAAGTGCTAATGGACTTTTAAATATGTTGGATATGTTTCAAGAGGTGGGCAGTGTTTTTGAAGCTCAGTAGATCAGCATATGTTATAAAAAAGCAATTAAAAAATTTTAAAAGTCAGTCAGGTGTGGCATGGACTGGCTTCCTTTAGAGTTGGATTAATTTTTTTTTTTCTTTAATAGCTACAGAATCCAGAAGTCAGATTTCAGCAACAACTGGAACAACTCAGTGCAATGGGATTTTTGAACCGTGAAGCAAACTTGCAAGCTCTAATAGCCACAGGAGGTGATATCAATGCAGCTATTGAAAGGTTACTGGGCTCCCAGCCATCATAGCGCATTTCTGTATCTTGAAAAAATGTAATTTATTTTTGATAACGGCTCTTAAACTTTAAAATACCCGCTTTATTTCATTTTGACTCTTGGAATTCTGTGCTGTTATAAACAAACCCAATATGATGCATTTTAAGGTGGAGTACAGTAAGATGTGTGGGTTTTTCTGTATTTTTCTTTTCTGGAACAGTGGGAATCAGTGCTTTTCATTTAAGGCTACTGCATGCATCACTTCTGCATTTATTGTAATTTTTTAAAAACATCACCTTTTATAGTTGGGTGACCAGATTTTGTCCTGCATCTGTCCAATTTATTTGCTTTTTAAACATTAGCCTATGGTAGTAATTTATGTAGAATAAAAGCGTTAAAAAGAAGCAAATCATTTGCACTCTAATTTGTGGTACAATATTGCTTATTGTGACTTTGGCATGCATTTTTGCAAACAAAATGCTGTAAGATTTATACTACTGATAATTTTGCTTTATTTGTATACATATAGAGTATGCACATATGGGACTGCATTTCTAGAAACATACTGCAATAGGCTATCTGAGCAAAACACCTGTAACCAAAAAAGTGAAGATAAGAAAATACTCTTAAAGCCGAGTATTTCCTAATTGTATAGAATCTTACAGCATCTTTGACAAACATCTCCCAGCAAAAGTGCCGGTTAGTCAGGTTTGTTGAAAATATAGTAGAAAAACTGATTCTGGTTATCTCTTTAAGGACAATTAATTGTACAGACACATAATGTAACATTGTCTCAACATTCATTCACAGATTGACTGTAAATTACCTTAATCTTTGTGCAGACTGAAGGAACACTGTAGTATACCCCAAAGTGCATTTGCCTAGGACTTTTCAGCTTCTCCCATAGGTAGTTTAACAGGCATTAAAATTTGTAATTGAAATGTTGCTTTCACTGAAAAAGTGTCTAAATGTTTCAGTTATTTTTAATCGCCATATAAAAATAGAACTCTCTTTTGGGTTTATCTGTTTTCTCATGCACAGGCAATACACGAATTTAAAATGAGTTGTGAGCCAATTGTTTCTGGAGTGTTTTGGTAGTTCTGTTAAGAAATAGTTAAATATTGTGCTTTTCAGAGCCTCAGAAAGGGGGACGGGGTGGGGGGGGGGCAGTGGAATCTATCCTGGATGGGGCCAGCTTAAATAATACTGGCAACCAAGATTCTGTTAGGATTTCTGTGCATATAGTATAGTAAAGAAGTATCATTCAGGGGTGAAAAACAAAGAGCCGTTTTAATGATGTTGAGTACATTTGGCTGTTTTATAGCCTTTTTCTTCCCTCCCCGAAGAATTCTGTTTGTCTAACTCCCAAACTGTTGGGGTGGTACATTCCTTTAGGACCAATTAAAACAGAGTTTAGGGTCAGTAATACATTTGGCTGACTCTGGTTCAGTATTCTCTTTGGTGATTATATTCTCTCATGTACAGTTACAGGAAATTAAAACGTTAAAGTAACCTAAAATGAATTCAGACCAATAAAATCAAGGGAAATACAAGTTGATTCCATTACTTCTGTACGTTGCTTGCTATTAAAAAAGGTTAAGAGGCCAGGTTACCCACCAGTCCATGCACTGTTCTGACACTTTCCCCAGGAGGAAAACGAGTACAAAGGTTATGGTGGAGGCATGAGTAGAGATTGTTGAGAAGGGTATTCATGTGTCTTTGCTCTTTCTGCTTGATGCCTCAGTCTGGTTTAAAAACTTCTGTACTGGCGAATGTGGTATTCAGTGTGGGATAGTGTCATAACTAATTTGACAATTTATTAATCACAAAATAACAATAAATCTCTAGCTTTTACATTTGATTTGTCTTGCCTCTTTTGTAGAAAGAAAAAAAATGTCTTTAACTTTTGCTAACCGTGTGTTTTAAAGGCTATTGAAGTTGATTTACCCCAGATTTTGTCACATTTTACATTCTTTATTTTTCAGGTTTTCCAATTAAAATGTCACATGGTCTTTTGTGGTGTGATAAAAAGATAGCACACTGGGAAGGTAGGTGACTTGAGCTCCACTTTTGATGTTGGTACTTGACTAGTTATGTGACATTGAGGCGTCATGATTTCTTTATTATACATGTACTGGTGAGGCTTATAGGTGCACTGGACTGGGCGAGAAGCTCTGAAGTACCTTCAAGCTGCTGCAGTGGTATGGTTTTCGTTTTTAATATGTTTACCTTTAGGTCTAAGTCTAAAGATAAATATCTACATCTTAAGGGGTTCAAAATACTTAAAATTCTTATCAGCACCAAAAGGATGTTTAAAATACTGTAGGCTTAAACTGTTCTTATATTGAGTGATAATATTTAGTACAAATTGAATAAAGAATGGAGTAGTGAAGATGTCATTTCAGGATTTTATTTCCTAATTATACTATTTGTGATATCCTAAACAAAGTGTAGCAAGTACTAAAAAATCAGATGAATGACACCTGACCTCTGTGTGTATTAGAATCTTGAGTTTCAGACTTGGTTTAAATATGATAATGAAAAGAGTCTTTTATTCTTACTATGTTAATTTAATAGGCGTATCACAACAAGATATAACGATGGATAACAATATGCTAGTGACAAAAGTGAAGCTAAGCCATGTGTACAATGACATCCATATGATTAACAAAAAAAAGGCTATGTGATTAATGCAGGGAAATACTCCATATTGTACTTCTTCTCTTAGAGATTACTATTAAACATGTTAACAGTCAACAGGAAGTCTTACATTAGAGAAGTCTATTTAAAGTTTTATCAGCTTTTTCCAGTCTCACTAGACCATCTCTTAACTATTCTTTAAGGTGATGCTGTATGCAATGAACACACTTCTGTACTTCGTGTATCTACCCTTCTCTCCGTTGTTGCACATGGTATTTATCTACTTTGGCTCCTATAAAGCCTACCATTCTTTCTGGGCTCAGTTCTGAAGGCGCCCTAAACTTTGCTGATCCAGTGTTTCTTTAACGCTTAACTGTTCATACTTAGCCTTTACTGTCAATTGCTGCATTTTGCTCCTCCCCTTCACCTTGTAGCGTTTTGTTTTGTTTTTATTTTTCTGCTCTAAAATTGTCTTGGCAGTTACCTAAGTAACACCAGTTGTTCCTCTTCAACTTGTCTGTATCTTTTCTCATAGGCAACTATTATGTCAGAAAGTCAAATTATTGAACATCTACTGAGTGCCAGGTTCTTTTCCAATTGCTCAGAGTATACCAGCAAATAAAACAAGATTCTGTCCACGTGGGGCTTACATAGTAGAATGTAGGCAGATAGCAAAACATCCAGATTGCTTGCCAGGTAATCAAAATCAGTGCTTTGGTGAAAAATTCTGCATAGTAAGGAGACTAGGTCAGGAAGGTGGTGGTCTTATTTTATATAAGGTAGTCAGAGAAAGCCTCAGCTCATTGAGGAGGTGACATTTGAACAGACACGAGTATCTGGAGGGGTGAACAACTTTTCCAGGAAGAAGGAGAACTAATGAAAAGGCCCGGAATAGTGTCCTTGAGTGTATGTCAACCTAAAGGGAAGAAGCTGAGGCACAAAATACAATTTCAAAAGAGTTTACTTGAGCCAAAGTGAGAACAACTGCCAGGGACCCATTTCAAGTTGCCTTGGGGAGTACTCTGTTTGGTTCAAGCAGGTTTTTAAAGGCAAAGGGGAACAAGGAGTGGGCTGATAAAAGTTTTGACAGGTATTCTCATTGGTTTCCAGAGATAACATTGATTAGCCAGGCTGTACACTGTTGAACATAGGGTAAAAGTTATGGCATCTACTGTACGTCTTAATGGCTACTTGGTGTCAGTCCAGAGCCCACATAGTAAGTTGCTTCAAGAGGTAATTATTTAGCTCAAGAGGGAATGAGACGTGACTGATGTCACATTTTAAATACCTCTCTGATCCTGATTAATTTAAAGGGGTTTGCATTCCTCAGATAAAAACTTTTGTTTCTTTCTCAGTGTGTTTGTAGAACACAAGAAATCCAGTGTGGCTGGGCAAGATGAACAAGGGAGGGGGGAAACGGGGTAGGAAATAGGAGAGAGGTGGGGGGGTTCAGGTATTTGACACGGAGGACTTGGTAATACACAAATCTTTATGACCCACCGCCAGAGTTTGTGATTAATGGGGAATTGGGGAAAATTTTGCATGTCTAACAAGTTCCTAGGTTGAACAACTAATGAAACAACTAATGAACACCACTGCACTACAGGAACCAGGGTGAAAGCAGGAAGGCTTTTCGGAGGTTATAATCTAGTGAGAGATCACAAGGACTTGGACTTGTGGCAAGTGGAGGTGGTAAGAAGTTGGATTTGGGATATATTTTGAAGGTAGAGCCAACAGGATGGACTGATAATAGAGGTGTGAAGTTTAGAGCAAGAGAGGAGTCAAGGCAAACAAGGTAGACAGGAAAAGGAGTGGAAATCAGGATTTTGGTGTTGACATGTTAAGTTGAATGTACTTGATGGAACATTTAAGTGAAGATGTTGAGGCGAGTGGAGAGCTGCAAAGGAGAGGAACAGATAGGTCATAAGGTGAGAGCTAAGAGAGGTCCTGAAAGGGGGTGATGAAACTTACTAAGAAGGAGAGTGGTTCAATACACTGCTGCCTCAAGTTCTCATCATGGATTGAGTTAACCCTTTGCGTTTAGTAAAGGAAGGACCCTCGTGACTATGACTATAGCGGTTTAGAGTGGTGGGTAAAATAGTGGTTAGAGCGGACTGGCAGGAGGCACAGTTTGGAAGAGAGAGAAATGGGGCCGTAGTGGTGGGGAGGGTGCTGTGGTGGTGTAGAATTTTGCGTTTTTTTTTTTTTTTTTTTTTTTTAAGATGGGAAATACTACAGCATGTTTTTATTTTAATTGTAATGACCAGTGTGGGGGGCATGGGGGAGGGGACTTGCCCAGGTAATTGTTTTCTACCAAAAGAGAGAAATGTACAGAGAGAAACGAGTTACTGCTAGCCTTTGATTCCCGGAAGAGGTTTTAAAAAACTAAAATCGGCACCTTTGTTACATGGGCTGAGGTGTGAGAGAGAGTTTGTCTTTCCAGCCATCATTTGCCTCAGCTGGGTCTGCCTTTTCTTGCCAGTAGAAGTGGCACCTGCCAGCCCATCTGAACTACACTTCATGGTCAGCCCTTTCAGAAGTAGAGGAAAAGCACCCCTCCCAGCATTTTCGCTTGGGTAAGATCTCATAGAACAAAACTGAGATTTCCTGTAAGCTTGGACAGTGGTGAAGCACACCCTCAATTTGTAATTCCAGCCTATGCCTGATAACATGAGTATTTCTGACTTCCAGTCGACTGTCTTGCTTGCCACTTTGTGCTTAGACAAGGCTAGACACATACAGGAATTGTCAGTAGTTTCCCTCAAAGACCAAAGCTGAGTGTAGGAGCCTAATTCTTTAATGGGATATATAGTAGACAGTTGGGTATTCAAGCCAGATTTTTTTACGAAGGTGTTTCAGACACATTTTCTATTCCTTATATTTTATAGAGAGGGGAGGGAATTTCCACTGTGTTGTGGTTATCTAATGCTTTATTACAAACTACACCACAGCTTGGTGGCTTAGAACAGAATCATTCATTTTGTTCATGAGTGAGCAATTTTGGCAGGGCTTGGTGAATACAGTTGGACCAACCTGACTGAGTCTGGAGAATTTACTTTCAGGAGGGCTTATTATGCACATGGGTGTTAAATTAGTGCATGCTTTTATCGGGGAGTGCACTCAGGGTCTCAGTTCCTTTCCACATGGACTTCCCAATAGGGCTACTGTGCTTCCTTACAACATGGCCGGTGGGTTTCAAAAATAAGTGTTTTAAGAAAAATGAAAAGTGCTGTTTTTTTTTAAGTTCTGGGTCCCAAACTGGCCCAGTGTCGTATCTCCAGTATTCTATTGGCCGGGCAGTCTTAGCTCACCCAAATATAAGAGGAGTGGTTGAAGACCCACTGCTTGTTGGGAAGAATGTCAAATAATTTGTGACCATCTTAATCCCAGATTGTAGTGTGACCACTACAATCCCAGAAGGAGGAAAATGTTGGAGGTTACACATTTCTTCTCCACCGTTCATCCCTTTCTAAGGGAATTAGTGACATGGCTGCTCGTTGAAGAGTGTAGAAGGAACTAAGCATAAATATGAATCTCTTTGGGAAACTGTAAAAAGGGAAACATTCCCTGCTGGTCTACTTCCTGCCACAAGGTTAGTGAGATAGGCTTGACCTGTATGGGGGTTTTTTGTTTTTGTTTTTTTTAACTGTGGTAAAGTATACATATCATAAAATTTACCATTGTAACCATTTTAAAGGGTACAATTCAGTGTCATTAAGTATATTCATAATGTTGTATAACCATCACCAGCCTTCAGAACTTCCTTATCACCCCAAAAGGAAACCTTGTAGCCATTAAGCATTCAATCCCTATTCCCTCCTCACCCAAGCCCCTGGCAATTGCAAAATCTGTTTTCTGCCTCTCTATGGATTTACTTATTCTGGACATTTTATATAACTGGAATCATTTAATATGTGGCCTTTTGTGTCTGGCTTCTTTGACTTATATTTTCAAGGTCCATCCATTTTGTACCGTGTAATCTCATTCCTTTTTATGGCTGATATATGATATTCCACTGTATGTTTATGCCACATTTTATTCATCTGTTGATGGACCCTTTTCACCATTTTCCTATTGTGAACAATGTTGCAATGAATATTGGCCTACAAGTTGGAGTTTCTGTTTTCAGTTTGGGAACCTGAAAAATCTGAGACAGATCTCAGTTAATTTAGAAAGTTTATTCTGCCAAGGTTGAGGATGTGCCCGTGACGCAGCTTCAGG